CGTTCAAAATTTGCAGCTCGTGCCAAGAAGTGTACTTTTCTTGGTTACAAACCAGGTACAAAAGGGTATGTTGTTCTTGATATGGAGTCAAATAACATTTCCACCTCTCGAAATGTTATTTTTTATGAGTCTCATTTTCCTTTTAAAGAGTCAAATAATTTTGAGAGTTATGTTCCCTTCTCCATTCAGTCATCTGATATTAATTATGATGGCATTCTTGACACAACTCCTGTGTCTATTGATTCTTCTCATCCACCTCACCCATCTTCCATAGTCTCTGCTGATCACACTATACATGATCAGGCTCCACATACAAATTGTATTCCAGTTGAACCTAGTCTTCGAAGATCCACAAGAACAAAGTCCAAGCCTCACTACTTAACAGAATTTCATTGTGGTTTGTCAAGTATAACAAGTGCCAATGCATCCTCAGGTTTGATTTCTGGTTCTCCTCACCCTTTATCCAATGTTCTTTCTTATGCTAAGTGCTCACCCTTTTACACAAGCTTCTGTAGCAATATTACCAGTGAAACAGAACCAGCCACCTATAAACAAGCAGCTCTTCTTCCTCATTGGCAAGAGGCTATGCAGAATGAAATACGAGCATTGGAGAGGAATAACACCTGGTCCATAGTTGAGCTACCTCCTCATAAGAAACCTATAGGCTGCAAGTGGGTTTACAAGATTAAAAGAAAGCCAGATGGATCTGTTGATAGATATAAAGCACGCCTTGTTGCTAAAGGCTACACACAATGTGAAGGAATTGATTATTTTCAAACCTTTTCACCGGTTGCAAAGATGACCACAGTTCGTACTTTACTGGCTATAGCTGTAGCAAAGGATTGGCACTTGGAACAATTAGATGTAGATAATGCTTTTCTACATGGTGAACTTCATGAAGAGGTTTTTATGTCTCTTCCACCTGGTATCCAGTCTATAGTTCCTAATGCCACTTGCAAACTTCAAAAATCCCTCTATGGATTGAAGCAAGCAAGCATGCAATGGAATGTTAAACTTACTCAATCACTTCAATTATTGGGATACAGTCAATCCATTGCAGACCATTCCTTGTTTGTTCGACAGTCTTCTCATTCTTTTACAGCACTACTTGTTTATGTTGATGATGTAGTTCTGGCTGGTAATGATGCAACAGAAATTACACGAGTAAAAACTGCTCTTCACAATCAATTCCGAATTAAAGATCTTGGTCCCCTCAGATTTTTTTTGGGTTTGGAAGTTGCAAGATCTTCTCACGGATTAGTTCTTAATCAGAGGAAATATACCTTGGAGTTATTAACAGATTCTGGTCTTCTAGGAGCCAAGCCAGTTGCCACTCCTCTCAATGCTTCTGTTAAACTACAGCAGAATCAAGGTACTCCCTATTGTGATCCTTCTGCCTACAGAAGACTTGTTGGTAGGCTCCTTTACTTAACAACAACCCGACCTGACATCACTCATGCTGTTCATCAGCTGAGTCAATTTGTTTCTAATCCCATGGATGAACACCACACTGCTGCTTGTCATATTCTGCGTTACTTAAAAGGCTCACCTGGCAAGGGTCTTCTATTTCCAGTTTCTAACTCTCTTCAACTCTCTGCCTTTTCTGACAGTGACTGGGCATGCTGCCCAGATACACGCAAATCTGTCACGGGCTCATGCATTTTCTTAGGCAATTCATTGATCTCATGGAGATCTAAGAAACAAAGCACAGTTTCTCGCAGCTCATCTGAAGCTGAATATCGAGCACTTGCCTTTGTAACTTGTGAAGTTCAATGGATGGCTTATCTCTTCAAGGATCTGCATCTTCCTTTAACCAATCCGGTTTCGATCTACTGTGACAATCAAGCTGCCATGTATCTTGCTCATAATCCTAGCTTCCATGAAAGGAGTAAGCACATTGAAATTGATTGCCACATCACTAGGGAGAAAATTAATTCAAGTCTCATTCGATTGCTTCCCATTTCTACTCATCACCAACTAGCTGATGTGTTTACCAAATCACTGCATCCTTCTCCTTTCAAAGAGGTTATTTCCAAGCTGGGGATGTTTGATCTTCATCTCCCACCTTGAGGGGGGCTATTACCAGTGAAATGGAAGCAGCCACGACCCTTTTAGTTTTAAGACTTGGTGTTAGTTGTTAGTTGGTTCATTCTGTTATTTCTTTCTTGCAGTTACTTTCTTTACACGTATCAGCTACTAGTTGATGTATATAAGCTGATACTTGACACGTTTTACCTTCAATGAAAATACTATTCAGTTTGCATATTTCCTTGTTTCCTCTTGCTTCTTCTTTCTCCTTTCTTTCTTCTTCAACTTTAATACTAATAATATTAATTTCTATATAAGGATACCAAAAAAATATATTAATTTCTATATAAGCAAAAAATTCAAGCAAGTGAGTAAATGTACAACAAAAATGAAACAAGTGAATAAATGTGAAGTTGAACAGAACATGTGAATTGAACTCTTGTGATTATTTTTTCAATTCATTTGATACTTGGTGGAGAAAGCATCTCCCAATTCTCCTCAGGAAAGATGTAAAGTAAACTTAAATCCGGGAGTAGTAATAAAAAAGAATAAAGAGTAATCAAATGAAGAACAAAAGGAGGTGGTTGTGGTAGGTCAAAGGTTGATCACAAGTGGGGAACGATGTCAGGATCTGCTTTATAAATATGGTTTAGTTGGTGCAAATATTGACTCACCCTCAGAAACAACGTCGTTGGGAGAATGTACATATGCTTCGTGGACGACAAGGGGAACCACAACACAACAATATTTGGTTTATTTATTTTATTTTACTTTTTGTTCATCCAAGCCAGGTAACATGTCTATGTTTCCCCCCTCAAATAGTAGAGAAATGTTAACAACACATTCATTTGGGTCTCATTAAATAAGGAACGAGTTCAACTTTTTCTTTTGAAACACAAAATTCATCCCATAGTAAAAAAATATGTTAAAAAGAGTATGCAAGAATATATTTAGTATTTTTCTAAATATTATCCACAAGTTAAGCATATTACTCAAGGAGAAGCTAATTCTTCAAGTTTTTTAAAGTTAATCCAATGAAAATTATGCACTGCCTCTTGTTAGAACTTCTGTCGATGTAGTATGATCTAGAAATCTAAAAACAGATAATTTGTATCTGTCATCATCATTAATATTTAGTATTTACATGATCGTTATTAGACTCTTTAGCATAATGAAATTACTGCGATTTAAGCACATGATTCTTACATAAATATACTATTATGAATCCTTAATGTATTTTCTCAAAGAGATAGTTGAAATGTTTAATGTTATGGGATCAAATGTGTCTATCCATCTCATATTGTTTGTCCAAAGTCCATACAGTCTAAAAAGATGGCATGGAAGACCGAGTATAAGAAAACCAACCTAGTAATAATATTAATTCCTTTTTTTACCCAAGTGTGGTGGCTCAGTTGGTAGCATGGGGACTGAGTGGTGGGAGAGGACCTCGGTTCGAATTCCACCAACACCATTTGGGGAGGGACATAAGTACCGTAATCCTTGGACTCGCACCCGAACTCTGGATTAGTCCCATAGGCGACTCAAAGAGTCGAACCCGTGAGGATACCGGTGAGTTCTGATTCGCCTCAAAGAGATAATTAGGATCAGTTTCCAAAAAAAAATATTAATTCATTTTTGTTAAATACTCCCAACTTGGTTATGGAAACATTTATTTCTATGGAGAACAATTCAAGAAGGTTAAGGTTTAATATATGACATCATAAGATTATGTTGTTGTTATATCTATTAGGGTTGTAGTTGAAATCTATCGTACTATTGTTGTAGTTGTCCTAAACAAGTTGCCGAACAGAAGTTTACGTAACTAATGTTACTAATACTAGTGTAGAACACATGCAAGAAACTCATTAAAATATTTAACTAGAATAAAAATAAAAATAAAAACACAACTTAATCTCCATTAGAATAATTACAAACCCATCTGAAAAAAGTCACGAACACTACAAATTACAAAAAGCCATAATCCTTCGAAATTCAACGATGGGCCCACAAGCCTCGACAAATTGTTCTTATGAAGCAGTTCAGCCTTGAAATTCTTCAATGAGAAAGCGGTGCTGGTGTGGCAACCAAAATTATTCAAAGAAGCAGTGCTGCAATATTTATTAGGGTTGACGAAGGGATGATTAACTCAGTTACGTTACAAAAAGAATAATGTGATATTTTAACTGAGTGAACAACTTTTAAGTGGAAAGATAAAAGAGGAGACCATAAAAGGCTACATTATCACCAAACACGTGGATCAACTAATAGAAATGTTATCCCAATTTAGTTAGTACTCTCGAATTTGAATCTTGTATATACAATTGTATTAAAATTCAGATTAATCAATGTCCCTTGGCGACCTTGTACCCGGTGATTTTGGAGTCAAACATCGTCCACAAAAGCTACAGATCATTACACACAAGTCCATATCCCTGATTCCCTGTAAATGATATGGTTGCGTTAACATAACAACCACCCACATAATACTAATAGTGAGTTTTTTTTTTTACTCGACCTATCATAAGAAAAGGCCCATAATAGATGGGTTAGGGCTTTAGTAGGTGGTGCTGGCTGCTTGGGGCGTCCATCACAAACCCAAGCAAGGCACAAGGGCAAAGGATCAGCATGCTGAACCTTATTCCAATTATTTAAAAAGGTTCACTTTTCTTTAGATGTTATAAAAATACCAATAAATTTGCCTAGTGGCTATTGGCTATTGGCAATCACTAATGGGCTATTAGGTGTTGACTGGCTGCAATGCCTTTTGTTCATTAAGACATGGTAATCCACATTAACCCTTTGGGACAAAGGTTTTGGTAGGGGTTAGCTCATATTATGGCCTTTACCCATAGTAAATACATAACTTACATTAAAATTCAAATATCTTCAGTTAGTAAAGTTAAGTGTCTTGCATTACTTCTTACATTTGCATAAAATCAACTTTAACTCCTGAAAGATTGGTGATAACAAAATAAACATGCAAAAAGAATTCAAATATCATTACTCGAACATACGAGAGGTAGCTCAAGTAGTAAGTAAACTTAAGCTTAACAGTTGAAGTCCCCACTCCCTACAGTATCAGAAGTTTGAACCTACAGAAAGCATTTGTAGGGATAGAAAACCTCAATTTCCTTAACTGGGATTAGTCTCACAACAGAAGGGTGTGAGAAAACCTCATAAGCCAAAATAAATAAAAAATATTCATATCTAGTAAAGTTGTTTGCTACAGCTAAGATTCATCCTCCTATGGCAACTGGCACGCATCTGCGTTGTCTTTTGACTTGTAATTTCCAAGCTTTTCAGCAATAGTTCTGCAACGACACTGGTTTCCTGGCCGGATCACATCGCCATAAACAGCCATCTCAATTATATCAAGCTCCTTATCTGCTGATAGATCAAAACTAAGATTATGCGATTAGAAGCATGACAGACCTCATGAATTGGGAGAAATATGAGCACTATCACACTTTCCTACAACATTCTACCTAAAAGTAATTGTGTAGCAGATATATGACTTAAACAAACAAGTCAATAATGGATCACCTCTCAGCATATAATAGAACAAAATCCTAAGTTTTACAACGAAATTCTTCTAACTGAACACAGGGAACAAAAATAAAAGTCCGGGAGAGTGGCTGTCAATCAATCCCCTTAAGATTCATCCTAAAAAATATTGCCAGCTAATTTTGAAGATTCTCACAATCAGGGGCAGCAATTTACTATAACCAGAACAACATGTTGTTCTTAATGGATTCAATTAAAATAAGTATTGGTTTTAAACATAGCCTTCCTGGATCTATAGGAACATATATTCCCAGCCAAAAATTAAATCCACCTATGAGCATATTCATACGAAGTATATTCATTATTCATAATCATTGTAAATAAAGGAAACAGGACGAGAGAGAGAGAGAGAGAGAGAGAGAAAAGGAGCAACTAGCTAGAGTATCTCTAGAGTGAAAACACCTAAAGCTGCAATTGAAGCATACGAATTTGTAAAGCATTTAGTAAATCCCTCCAATCTGAGAAAGGAAGACACACAATTTTTTATTTTTTTTCATATGCTCTTCAATATTGCAATCTATAAACTGCAATAGAAATAAATTATGATTTTTATCTGTAACATTTTGGATTTAGGGTTCTCTGACTAAGAGGCTTAAGAGCCTAATCTTATTAAGAGAAGGAAGGACGGGCACAATTTCTAGTTACTAAATAATACTAAAAAAATTTCCCCCTATGATAAACAGGGTTGAATAAAGGACTCCTGATAAGGCACCCCTAAAGGTTACTCTGGTCTTTCTCATTCCTAGAAATTGGTGTTTGTAATTTTTTAGCAGAACTCTGTTGAATCTGCTAAATCAATATCAGAATATGTTTCTTGTTTCTTCATTACATTTCTGGTATTAGTTGGTATCTAACAACTCCCAGAAGCCAAGGATGGGTGAAATGCACAATAATAAGTGAAAGGAAAGTTCAATGCAAAGAAAGACAAATAAAGAAGCACGCATACCAGTAAAATTAATATCACAAGAGTAACCTTTCAATCGATCGGAATCAATCTGATATTTGTCTGATTTTAATCTGTTCACTCTTGATTGAAGTATTTGACAATTATCTGCCGTGGATTCACCACCTGCAACACAACCTCACATGTCAAATAGATTAATGAACAAAATAACAAATATCAATCCGTATTGTATGCTCAATTGATGATAAACCTTAAAATAAAAATGAAAAACACAAGTTTTTATCCTCATTCATTATCTTCTTTTCAATCTATAATTTCTACTTTTTGCCACTAAAAATAATGGTTCCCTATTTATCCATGAACCATGCAATTAAAACAATTTAAAAACGTGATATTCCACTTCATTAGTATTCAGCTCCATCTTCAGTAATCCCCCATTGTTACTTCTCATTACCCAAAATATGATGTCGAAGCTGGACAAAAAACAAAACTGTAGACGCTAATGGACCTGAAGAAGCCACAATTTTTTCCAAGGAAAACAGTAATACCCTTAGCAAATCACCCCAAAAGAAAATAAAAATTGAGAACGACCCAGAAGAAATGAATGGATTAATATGAAATTGAAGGTAAAAGGGAGGGAGAAAAATGGAACCTTTGGAAAAAGGAACGATGTGATCGTACTCATAGCAGAGGCAGCCTAGGCAGTTGAAGAAACGCTTGCAAACAATGTTACCGGCAGCGTCTTTGCGCCACCTCTCTGGATGACGGTCGGGCACAATATCAGCCTTCGACCAACAGATACTCTTTGTTTTTGCGTCGAAGGATCTCGGTCTGTTCTCGCCGTTGCCGTTGCCCTCGCCGGCGCGAGAACGTTGTGGCGAGGAACTCATCCTTGCTTACTGATTAGAGAACAGTCGAGAGAGTGAAAAAGGAGAATTTAATTTAGCTGACGTGGCCATTTTTTATTGGATTTGCTTTGAAAACATCACGCATAAAAAATTCTCTTTTTATTAATTTTTTTTTTTTTTAATAGACAAAAGGGCTAAAAGCAAAAAAAAAACAAAGAAAACCAAAAAGAAACTACCCGCGAAGTGCCACAGCAAGCTCCCTTCCTACCTACCGAAGCAAGATCACCAGATATAACTTATGCACACCAAGCGGAGGTTGACTAAAAAAGCACTAATCAGCTTGCTCAGTAAAATCCAATATAAAATTAGCTAACCAGTCTGTACACGAGTTACCTTTCCTGAAATTGTGACAAAGAAAAATCTGTCAATCTTTTCCAATCTACGTCCGTATACGAGAAACCAATTGCACCTCACGGACTGCTGCACCACTTTTGGTGAACACAATAATTGCCAAAAGCGAATTACTTTCTAAAATAATTTTACTGTAACCATTGCTCCAAGCGCTCTCCTAACCCCTCGTAGTATCCCATAATTCACTTTCTATTTCTTTCTTTTAAAACAAAAAGGAAAGTTACTAAACTACATTTATTTTGGAATTAATTTTTCTCCAACAATACAACATAAAGTTATTTCTTCGTTTTGGGCTTTAAAAAAAAGTTTGGTGTTTGTTATTTTAAATGACATACGTTATGTCATTTTAAGAGAGAGATAGACACAGAAAAATAAAAATCATGGGAGAGAGAAAGTTGAAGGTTTTTTTTAATTTAAAATTTAAATGAAATTTGTTTTTTTGTGTCTGTCTCTCTCTTAAAAGGACATAGTGTTATGTCATTTAAAATGACAAACACTTTTCCCTTAAAAAAATACAGAATATTTTAATAAAAATTTAAATTTTAGCATTTTTTTTTAAAAATGATATAATTTTGAAGTTATTTGAGATAATTTTATCACATAATAAATATTTTTTCCTTATATTTATACAAAATAGAACCTCCATATAAATGTATTAACTAATACTTAAAAACGTGTTTTTTTTCTGGAAAAAAAATATTTTTTCTATGTCCATATAATGGTTAAGATTCACCGTAGTGCTTTTTATGAGCAAGTTAGAGATGGTAAAATGAGTCGGCTTGCCCCCAACCCACCACTAATCAGCCAAAAATAAGTTGATCTGCCTTGCCACAATTTTTAAATATGGGTTGAAAAACCCAATCCAACCCATCCCATTTTATGATGGGTTGGCAAGTCAATTGGCATGAAAATAAAAATAAAATTATATTTTATTAATATTATAATATTACTTATATTCATTTCACATCCACTTTCTTTTTTTTTTTTTCGATCTCAAATCTAAATATAAACTAGGGACCGGTTATATTTGCAAATTTTTTTGTATACAAACTCTTACAAACTACACTATGTAGGACCGATCCTACATTAATCACACAGTGTACGACCGATCTTACATTAGTGTAATTGCAAAAAAAATTTGTAAACAAATCCGGTCCCTATAAACTAATATTCAATCAGACATTTTTTAAAACTTTATTTTTGCCTTTATATATGAATAACTTTTATCATAAATAAAAATTTTCTTCTTTATTTTTTCTAGGGAATACTAAAGTAAAAAAAATTATATCACAAAAATTTACTAACAAATAAAACACTACTTAATAGTAAAAAAAAATAAAAAATTAACTTGCGGCCCAATGTGTCCTGACCCGTTGCAATTTGACCCACGACTAATCAGGAGTGATTGACATAAAATATATAATCCAACCCGCCAATCCGTCAGAAAAAAAGTATTCGTCGACTAAAACCGAATATGTACAACTAAGTGCGTTTGCATTATACTCTGCAAGATGGATTTTGACTAAAAGATTTAAAGCAATTAATGTTTAAAAATTATCGTCTGAAAAGTGAGTTTGAATACCTATAAATGAGTGTAATTAATCAGAAAAGTAAAATGTTATCACTTCTTTTAACAAAGGCGTAAGACGTTAAAACCCAGTCGTAGATAAGTCCAAAGCAATTTCAGCAAACATGTTTTTGGGTAAAGTAAAACTCAATCCGTCAAAACATGATTTGGAGGGTGTAAACTGGATACCAAGCATGCACTAAAAGGACTAGATAAAGAACTAACTCATGACAGTTTGGAGAAAAGCTTTATACACAGCAAACCATAGTTATGTTTACACAAAATACTAAGAATCTTGCACTCAACGTAGTCCCATAATTGGTTTATGAGTTTGGTGTTTTAAGAGAGAAATAAATACAAAAAATAGAAATCATGAGAGAAAAAAAGTGAGTGATTTTTTTTAATTTAAATTTTAAATAAAAAAAATTTATTTTAAGTCTATCTCTCTCTTAAAATGACATAACTTTGTGTCATTTAAAATAACAAACACTTTTTCCATTGGTTTATTTGCATCTAGTGTGATAAATCCTCTGTCATTTGCTATTAATATATAAGTTTTCATCACTGCAGCAAAAAAGAAGAAGAAGATAACTTCTGATATCATACCGATAAGAAAAAAAGACAACTTCTCATAATATACTCATCCTCCTTTATAAGAAAGTCACGGGACAATAGATAAAAACGAAAAAATGTGATAATAGTTTCTGTCACCACATCCACAAACACCATTGGTAAGACTGGTCTGACTAGAATCTATGAGCCAAGTCTTGAACAAAAAGGATATAAAGGCTTACAAAAATATCTTTGCTTAAATGGAAACAACAAACTGCCAGTAGTTGAAGCTAGTTCTTTGGCCCAATATCCTTCAGGGCACAAATCTGTTCCTCACCCATAGCAGACATGACAGAAACAACAAGGTCCTTACCATCACCAAATCCATCCTTTATCTGCAGAGAGCAATCAATGATACAGACCCAATTAGAGAAAATCTAAACAAACAATAAACAGATGAACAGAACAAAGGAATTGCACACAAGCCTTGCAGCTTGTGAATCCAACACACCCAAAAAAATAAGATATGTAAAAACCTGAGAGAGAAGACTCTCATCGGTAGGAAGCTTGAGGTCATCCTTGGTGTTCCCATTTTCAGTAAGCAAGCTCACCTACCACAACATTATTTAATAATTGCAAGCATGCATTCAGATTTCAGAATACAGAAGCAAGATTAACAAAACATTAATGGGTGAATCTAAGGAAATTGTTAACAGAAATATCAACTCACAAATCCATCCTCAGAAATATCAATAAGCTGGTAATCAGTACGATTCACATGAGGAACCTGACAAGAAAAAAAAATTGCAATAACATTACAGAAAAAAAAAATTATTGTGAGAAAAAAAAATAAAACATAATAAGTGACTGGCATATATACATCACAATTGTGAGAAGAGGGCACAATATCTTCAAGCTTCTTTGCAGTGAAGATATCAATTCCAACAAAGTGGCACTTAGCATGACCATGCTTCCCAGTCTTGGAAGTTGAAACTTCAACAACCTGTTCACAAAATAATTAACAAATAATAATAATAATAATAATGGAGGAAATCAACATCCATAAATATATACACAATTTCAAAAACGATATTAAGATTTCATCATTTCCTTCAATAGATTTCAGCAGTAACATAAAAAAAAAATGAATCAGATAGGTTGGATCTAAAAGACAAAATCAAATCAATTTTTACCATTAACTTATAAAAAAAAAAAAAAAAAGAGCAATAAATTTAAAAAGATTTTTTTTTTAAACAAAAAAGAAGAAGGAAAATTGACCTTGCAGGGGCGTCCCTTGATAACGATGTAACCGTTTTTGCGGATAGTGCCGGCTTGTTGAGGGTATGTTTTGGAGGCTCCAGCATCAGCCTTTGACTCGAAGTGATGCTCCTCGTCCGACATCGTTTTTGATTAAAACTTGAATGGTTCAGTAATGGCGGAGAAGAGCGTAGTGAACAAACACACCAAAGATATGTTGCAATTAATTTATATTCCTTTGCCACCACCGATTGGTAACTGACTGAACCTATCTAACTAGGGTTTGGTTTTTCATCTGTGCATCCCAGATCTTCCTCTCTCTTTGTTTCTGACCGTTGGATTCAGTCTATCACTCGCCGTTGGATCTCGACTATCTGCGTGAGGTGGACGCTAATATTTTTGGGCTTTGGCCCGACAAAACACAAAATGCTCCTTCGATCTTGGAAATATATAGTTATTATTAGTTAATTATTTTTTATTTTATTTATTTTAGTTAAACGGGATTTTCTTACTGTAATTTTTTTTTTAATTGCTTAAGTAATTAGAAATAGATTGGAGTGCATTAACAAAATACGTTCACTTTCTAATTTTAGAAGAGATAAAAGTTTACTATTTAATCCAAATTATTTCATCCCACAAACTATAAATAATATAATTTTATATGGAAAAATATAAAACAATAAGAAAAACTAGAAAAAAAATACTTATTTAATTTATTTTTGGAACAAATATCCATATTAATGCGATCATTTCCGCACTTTGACAATATGGGATAGCTTCTGTACGTGAGGTTTACTGTCAGCGTGAAAGTATCACACGACAAACGTATGGAACTCTTTAAATTTTACATTACAAACATATAAGACTAGTCTTGTATTGCTCATACAGGACGTATGCATATTTAAGTCTGAAAAACACAAATTTCTTCATTTCCTTCTTTCATTCCTTTTTCTAAGTCTCGCACGAAAGGAATACTAGACTAGTTTGATATATTTGCCATATAAGACTTTCACGCTGACACTAAATCTCTCATGGTTGTAGTGTAAAATTTGTCCCGTACAATCAATATGTGACGTTAATCCCATTAGTCTCAATAAGTAAAAAAAAATTGTGTTGATTTTTATTTTTTCACCAAAAAATGTATAATTATGTATTGTTGGTTAATTCAATATATAGATTATCTTTTTTTCTCTTTCAAAAATCTGATATATCTTTTCTAATTTGTAACTTCCTTGATTAAAAAAGAAAGTTGCTTTCTAATAAATTTAAATGTGAACAGTGAACTTATATGTTTGTGTGATCTTACAAAGTTTTTCTTTATCTTTGTGAGAGTATTTTTTCTTTTCCTTTCGGGCGCAGCAAAAAGAGAAGGAGAGAAAATGTGTTACCAAAGAGTAAATTTTTGGTACATCCGATGTATTAAATTTGGTACATCCATTTATTAAAAGGGATTTTCTTTTCTCCTTTTACATAAAAATTGTCAAATTTTCTGCTCACACAAAGAAATAATGGGTCTCGCTATTTTATAAAATAAAAAATAAGAAAAAAATGAGGCATAATTGCCTATGTTAGTGCAGGAAAAAAAATCCACTTTCCTGTTATATAACAAAAAGTTTACCGTTATTAAAATGAGTTAAATTTTTTTTTTTTACTTTAACCCATATATCGAGTTCGGTACACCTTAGTATTAAAAAAAGGATAAGATATTGTGACACACAAATAATGTTACGCACAATGTTACGACCACATCTTAACCGTTGATTTTCGCCATTCAACGATTATCATTTATTGCGAATTAATAATTAATTAATGAGTTTGATTTGAAAAATGATAACCGTTGATTGGCGGAAATCAACGGTTAAGATATGGTCGTAACATTGTGCGTAACATTATTTGTGTGTCACAATATCCTATCCCTTAAAAAAATATCCACCAAAGTATGAAAGTCCAACAACTGAGTTTAATTGAAAAAGGGAAAATACATAAAAATATTTCTTAAATCTAAACAACTTAGGCACAGAAAAAAAGACAGGAATTATAAGTTCTTTGCGTCGAACAAATATTATTTAAAGAATAAAAGTTTAAATTATTAAATTAAAATTACAGGCCATCATCATCTTATTTTAAATTTATAACCTAATTGGCCAATGGCAAATACTTTTTTTTTTTTTTTTTTTTTTTTTTTTTTGTATAGTCAATGGCCACTACTTTCCATCAAACAAGCTTATGTTAAAAGAAAGAACTGCCTTGATCAGAAAATTCTCAATGTGGCGCTCGTTATTCGTTCATGGACTCTTCTCCTTGTTCCTATAAGCAAAATAAAGTTGGGACCTTTCTATTCACAAACTACAATCATTAGAGCAGAACACACCAAGTACAATTAGATCTTACATACTAATCACCATTGTAATATTATTGATATTGCAAATCCATAACGTGAGCTATTTAACATCATAGTTCACAATGTCAAATGTATATTTCCAAGTGTACTATCATGACTCAGTATAAGTAGGATATAAAGTGCCTCAAAATTCTTCCACGTTAATAGCTTCACGAGGCATTTCATAGGCATCTTTGGGCCTTGATTTCTTCACACTAGCAGTAGTAAACCATAATTTGTCAGACTTGTAACTCTCAACAGCAACACTAGTGACCTTGACCCACACCAAAACCTTAGTCTTCATTCCATCTGTAACAATGAGCTTCCCCTTTGACAATGTCCCTTTGACCCGATTTGCATATCTTATAATGGATGAGTCCTTGAAGCACACCTCACAGGGGGAGGACATGTACACTATCAACTTTCCTTTTGATTCATCAAACTCATAGCATGTTATGTTGCGGGGAAACAGACCGGAAGGAAGGTTGTACTCTCGAAGGAGATCTGGTAAAGCTTTCATGGATTTACCTAATAGAAAACAGAACAAAACCGGGTGTCAAATGTTATTATGATTGTCATTATCATTTTTCATTATTATTTTTGCCACAGTGATATTTGTCCTGAATAAACTTTATATAAGTTGAACATTTTAAAAACTTAACATATGATGTGTGTCCTGAATAAACTTTTAACTTTTGGAAAATCATTTGTCTTAAGTATTACTGTCTCCCTAGCAGAACTATGGATCTTAACAATTAAAATTTAGATTAAACTCTTAAAGCAGTTTAAGCGGGAACAAGTCATAGCATGTTAATACTCGAACCACAAGTGCAAAATTGTTGTAAAAAATTAAAAATACTAGGTACCTTTAAGTTTGTTGATGAAAAGTTTTGCCTTCTCTTCAACAGTATTTGAGAAAGACTGAAATTGCAAGCACGGAATAAGCATTCTCTTACATAAAAGTATGCACTGCAACAAATCAATTTACATAGACAGAAAGAACAAAAAGCTAAGAGGCACTCTTCTGAATTGCAATTTTCCCCTCCTATTTTACCTTGATCATCAAACACTTCACTCTGGTTCACTGTTCATAATGATCATATATTCCGAACAAAATTTTGAAATAACAAAAGAACAAATACCTCTCTAATTCCCGTAACATTGCAAGACTCTTCAGAAAATTAATCTGATAGCATGATTAATCCTACTATCAACTAAAAATATAGGTGAAGTAGATTCAATCATTTATTTTCAAAAGAACAAATAGACTCAAATTCATTTCCCCAAAGTTTCATAGTCATCAATTAACTATGAATTTCAAATTTCAGATGTGGCTACTTCTGTTCCACACTTTTATCTATCCTTTTTTGTGGTTTTACTTTTATCCCCTCTTCTTTGAAGATTCTCAGATCTTGCCTGCGAGATAAGACATACAAAAAGCAGAAAGAATATCTACTAATAAGGTAAACATCACAATTGCAAGAACAATGGGGCGAATAGGATGCACACAGAGGCACATAATAGCCTATTCTCGACACCATAATACAAAAATCATGGCTTTCACATTCAATATCAAAAGGTATGAGTATGAGAGTCTTGGAAAGAGTTGCAAGTATTTTTTGTGTCAAATCTTTTAGTTCTAGAATTTTTCTATTAAGTCATTCATCCTAAATAAAGATAACACAAAAGCAACCAGAGATTTAAGATTTGAAGGTAAACAAATAAAATTTTTCTAACAAAGAGACATACAGATAGGTCGTCCGTAATATTGGAAATCTCTTTCTTGGCTTTCTTGGAGATCCAAAATCCTCCCAGTTTAGTGAGAGCTTTATCCATTTTCCTTCTACTTTACCAATTCTCAGTTTCTCTTAAAGAAAGAAAGGAAATATCGTGTTTAAACACTTAGAACATGTCTTTATCTTGGATGGTAAGTGAGACAACTCAGGACGCTGCATGAAAGTAAAATGGTGAAGAATTTTCCAATAAAAACTCAGATATATTAATGCAAAAGAACAAATGGAAAGCAGAAAATACTGAAAGTGAAAACGGCACTGTGTAAGGATGTACTGTTTATGTTTGGATCCTCTCTCACCGGTAGAACTTCTTCTAAGCATAAGCTACGCCAAACAGATTTTGGAAAAAGTTCTTATAAATAAAAGCTCTTGTTTTTATAATGAAGAAAAAATTGAAAACTAAAAACTCTTATATGTTTTTCTTGAAATGTGTGCTTTTTTTTTTAATGAAGAGTGATAAAGATAGAGAGAGATAATTTTTTTGAAATATTTTTAAGCTAAAACTTTTATGTAATTTTCCAACAGCTTTTAGCTTCTTTTTTTAAGTTTTTTTTTTTAGCTTTAGCTTATAAGTAATTTCTAGCTTAAAAATAAGAGGATCCAAACAGACTCTTTTTTTCTCTCTTTAATTTGGATTTTAAGGTTAAAATGGAAAAACAGGACTTAAGCAGAAGACTTAGTTTCATATTTAATTTGAGTTATAATTTGTTGATGCTAATTTTCATCCATCCATACATACCAATGAAGGTGTAAGCAAGCGGATGTATACATTTTGCCTGACCTGAACACTGGAAAACAAAAAATAATAAGAGAATTTTAGTTTTGGCTACTGCTTGAATGTGATATATTATATAGTTAGTTACTTAGCTTGTCTTGTAATCTAAATTAACAGCAATTCCAGTGAATGTATGATTACAACTTTTGTAGAGGTCGGTGATGTTTCACATTCAATCGGTCGTTAACGTGATGAGATGCGATCTTGCGAGCTTCATTATGCCTTCAAACATGACAAGCAATGATACCACGCCAACTTAAATCAATATTAAAAATATAACCCTAGAAAAAATCAATTTAAAAAATATTACCCAACAACAAAAGAAAATTTTATATTAAAAGATTATCAGTAAATAACGAGTATTTTTACAAGCTTCTTTATGAGAAAAATATATTAATTAGAATAAATTTATAATACAATCTCAAATTAAAATATTTATAGATTATGAGATGTATAAGCTGACTTTGATGGTGTTCCGTACCAGCATCACACCTAATGTCCTACTGAGTACATAGATCTCATTGTAAATGATCTTTCACTCTTAACTCACCATAGTACGCATAGGTGATGTATTCCCTCACTCATAAGTCATAACGGTAAATGTAATGGACAAAATAATTATGACTCATCTCTCTCGTTACAAACTCTTACAAACTATATTAAGTATGATCGGTCATAATTTAATTAAAAGTATATGATCGGTCATACTTAGTGTAATTTGTAAAAAAGAGTGTATGACCATTCATACTTAGTGTAATTTGTAAAAAAAATTGTAAGAGAAAAGTGTTTATCCTTTTAAATGACACAACTTATATCATTTCACTCTCACAAAGAGGTGGGATCCACACCTTTATTTTTTATGTCAACTCTCTCTTCTCCTTTATCTATCTCTTTCTCTCTTTTAAAATAACACAACTTTACATCTTTTAAAATGACACATACTTTACCCAAATTGTAAATGGATCATTTCCTCTCTCTCTTTATATATATATATATATATATATATATATATATATATATATATATATATATATATATATATATATATATATATATATATGAGAAAAGTATTTCTACAGCCACTCTAGATAAAGTTGTCTACATCTACCCTTTTTCACTAAGTACGACCGGTCGTACTTAGTGATAACAATAAAGCTGTTCTTTTTTTCTCTTCCCTCAGACATTGTCGGCTGACGTGACGGAGAGAGAAAATGCAATTTTAATGTATGACCGGTCTTACTTAGTGAAAAAAGGATAGTTGTAGAAAAGCTTATCTAAAGTGGCTGCAGAAATGTTTTCCCTATATATATATATATATATATATATATATATATATATATATATATATATATATATATATATATATATATATATACCTGTCATCATCAATCGAAGAGGCATATGATATCCATAACTTTCATGAGTTGATACCCTAGAATATAGATTCACCGTCTCCTTACACATTCCTTATCTCCTAATCTCCTACGATGACTCCTGGAAGAGCTTTGGTTTATACTTCTATATCTTTTTTTGGATAAACTATAAGTATCCTCCTGTTGGGACATGATAGTCCCTCAAAGTCGGCGCGGAAGCATTTGCAAGTTGGCACTTCGAGCTCGGAGTTTGGCAATCACAAGTCGGTCTATAGCCACCAGGTCGGCCTTGCGCAGCGAAAATGAAAAACACAAAAGAGAGAGACAAAGAAAAACACAATCAAATTTTAACGTAGAAAACCTTCTTCAATATGAAGAAGTAAAAATCATGAAATATTAGTTCATAATCAAACTTCCGCTTTAAAAATAATGGAATACAAGAAATCAAAATTCATGAATAAAAGGTGGTTCATTTAAACCTTATCTACAATGATGGTACTCAAACTTTCGTAAAGAGGTCTAATTCTCAATCTTCTCTTTAGAAGTATTTTCATCCAACTCACATTCTAAACTCCTCCAATCCTTTACGAAACATATATAAGAGAGAGAAGATTCTAGATCATGAAGAGACAAGGAGACAATATTGAGCCACTCAAATGTGTGTCACCTTGAGCCTTGCACCAAAGGAAAAATTTTTCATTCACAATGACTTCAACCTAAGATCTTGTTTAAGAGAAATCAAATATATATTTAATGCGTATCGACAAACTAAGACTTGAATCCTTGAGGGAGGAAGTTAACAGTTAATACTCTGCGTGGATTTTTTTTATCGGAATTTTTTATTTATTTTTTTGAAGATTTTTCTACCAATTTATCATTTAATCGACTAATCTGATCATAACCACGTCCACGACAAAACTCTCCCTCACAATAGAAAAAAAAAGAATGAAAATGGAAGCTCCCGCCATTGTAGGTGGAGGAAAGATGCACACAGGTCTATAATAGGACAAACCTAACATGTGACTTACGGGCACATCAATACAAAAAAAATTAGTTTAACCACACTTCAGGATTGTCGATTAGTAGCATTTTTTTGAATGTTGTTAAATGCTTTACTGTCATTTATTGCTGGTTCGGCTATAATTGGTGACGAGAAATGCTCCATTTTTATCTCGAAAAAAAAGAAAAAAAAAAGAGATGCTCCATTTATTGGTATATAAGTGTTGTTTACCGACGTTTGAGCCAACCGTGGACATAAAGTTATTTCTTCTCTGACTGTATTTTTGTCTTCTTAGAAAATTTGGTAGAGAAGAATTTTTTTTTTTATCTGGGAATCACGATTTCAAGGAATATGATAAAAATATGAGTTTTCTGAGAATGTTACCACAGAGGTGTTTGGTAGACTAAAATATTCCTAGAAGATTGGGTTAATTTTCTTAATGTTATGTTTAGTTGTACTAAATTTTCTTTTGACATAGAAATCTTAGAATACCACCCTTGGATGGTAATTCTGGATGGTATTTTCAAAAAAATTTACACACAAAATAAAATCTCGAGAAAATCAGATTCCTGAGAAAATTTTAAAAAACTTGTACCAAACATGGTTAAATATAATTATCACTCTCAGTTTTTCCAAAATCCTAAAAAATGGCTACTACCTAACGGCTCCTAAACTTCTGATCCCTAAGCTACTAGGATTGATCCGGTGTAATATTTGGATAATTTATATTAGGATATATGTTTAATTTCCATTCTATATATATATAAAAAAAAACTTCTGATACCTTAATTGTTTTTTTGGATACAAATAAAATTAAACACATAACATAATATAAATTACTTAAATCTCTCATTACTTGGAGAGAAAATGTAGTGCTCTTGGCCCATAAAATTTGGGGTGCTCCTTCTCTCAAAATAGGGGCAAAATTGGAGAAGAAAAAAATAGGAGGAACAAAAATGAAAAAAAAAAATCACTCATGTGAGAGGGATCACCAAATAATTAAGTGGGCCTGGATCACATAATTATTTTTCCATTACTTGCTTTCTACTTTAGTTGCAATTTATCCTTCTTGACCAAACTAATAAATGGTATTAATTGATATTTATTTAATTTTTAAATTTTCAGTTTTAATATTTAATCTATTTTCTTAGATGTATATGACAAAATGACAATCATTGGATTATCTGCTCCGACCCTGTTTTTGTTCCTAGATAACCGGTCATTTTCTCGAAAAAATAAAATAAAATCGATATATCAAACATAATCTTGAACCATTTTTATTTTATAGATTAAAAAATTCGAAATTAAGGTATTTATATTGAGCTTTGTTAAAGCATTGTAATTGTTATTGTTCTCCTTTAGTACTTTATTAAAAATATATTTGAATATATTAACTTTAAATTTGATAATGTGTCAATAGAAATAAAATATTGATAAATAGTGGTTTGAGCATGAATCAAACCAAAAATTGTGAGATTACTTATGTAATTATTATTTTTAATGTGTTAATTTATTTTTTAGAATTTTCCACCGGTTCATCAATTAATTTTATTATTATTTTTATATTTAGTAGAATTTTGAATATGGATAATACTTCTCTTATGTTGTATACGAAAAGTACTATCTCATACTCAAACAAAAAGTAGGAGAAAGAAAAGAGTTAAAGGGGAGAGAAAAAAATCTTGTGGGACCCATTTGAGAAATGTGAGTGTAGGAGATAATATTTTGTTTATGTAACATGAGAAAAGTAATTTCCTTTGAATATTTATTGTGAAACTAACTATCAACCGTCAATAATAAATATTTGGTTTGTACAAAAAAAACTATTTGGTAATTTACTTTGTGTATAATTTCATCAGGGTACATTAAAACTCGAAAAAAATAATATGGTTTAATTTTGTTTCTAAAGGGTATTTACATTTTTTTTATTTGATTGCACCCGGTTTAAATATTTTTTACTAAATTTTTAACACAATATTTTTGAATTTGAGATCATTGATTAAATTAGAACAACCCCTAACTCATGTCAACTTATAGGTGATAGGGTACGTACACTTTACCCTCTCCAAAAACACTTCATTCTTTGTGTTAATTTGACACTTTGCTCTCATATAGTTTACTCTCTTATTACAAAGTCTTAGTATGATATTTTCTATTTCTTTATTAAACATACATATTAAATTACCAAAAATGTTTTAAAAAATCCTGGTTGATAAGAATTCTCGTCATTTCTTATATTCATGTATCTAAATCAATTCAAAGGATCTTGCATTGACTGTATCTTCCAAAAGGAAAAAAAAAAAAACATCCGATAGCCCTTTGTTGTATCCGAATTCCGAAAGAATGTAGTACATGATTCTCCCAAATACCTAATTGAATTTGTTTGATATTCGCGGTGGATCAGAAAATAGGCAATCACTATAGTAAAAAATAACATGTAAATTATCCGATTGAAATATTAAAAAAAAAAAATGAAAATTATCACAAGGTAACTATGTAATAACAATAACAAGCCTCGACAAACTGTGAGTCAAACCACGCAGGGATAAACTGTAAATTATTTTAAAAAAAATTTGTATACCTCAAACCATATTATATGATGGGTATTACTTTTACGCAGCAACGGCAGAAAAATAGTTTCTGTCTCTGAGACAAAAAACGGATCCGCTAATTTTTATTTTTTTAAAATTTTATTAGGTTCCGACGTCATATCTGATAATTTTGTGAGATAAAATATTTTTGTCACAACTACAGAAATACTTTTTCATTATATGGTATCATAAAAATCTATAATATGATATGAGATGATATATAGAAATCGTAGTTTTTAAAATTGATCCTGCTTAGAATAATTATTGGGTTTTATAAGAGCTATGTTATAAGAAAAATGATGGTATAATGTTATAGAGATTCGTTTTAATTTGCGTGCTTTATTTATTTTATTTTATTTTTGCTTCAAAAAGTGTGGGCCCCACAAAATATTGTGTGTGTAGGAAACTTTTTTGTGTCATGTTAAATGATAAATGTAAAACTCATAATTAATTCACCTAAATATAATGTAAAAAATTACTTTGTATCGATTTATATATTCCCTTAATTAACTTTTCAAATAAAATGTTAAAAGTAAGGATATATACAAATACCACATCACATGGAGAGACGATAAAAAATAAAAATAAAATAAGTGAAGAGTATTTCCATGGAAATGAAGAAATTCAGTGTGTACATGTTCCCTTGTGTTACAGCATACATTATACACCAGCGGTTTTTCCCTTCTACCCCGACAATTTCAAGGTAGAAGAACCAAACAAGAATAATTCTTCTACGGCTATACTCCACGACAACTTTACAGCATCGTGTTGTCCGCAATGGAAAACTCATTATAATACAACTTCCAAAACAAACCTATTTCACGAGAACTTTCATATTTTTGTCTTTGTTCTTCCTATTTTCTCTGCTTTTTCCTCGCAATCTCACCTTCAATCCCCAAGTTACAGGTATCTTTTTATCCTCTCTGATATTTAGTTCTTTTATTCTTGATAATGGTACCTTAGATTTTTCCTCATGACATGACATGATCTTTTTGTTTGACGTATATGACTTTTAAACCAGTAGCTGATTTTTTACACGTCTTCATATGAAGTATAGACATGCAATTAAGTTCTTTTGAGTTCATGTTTAATTTCTTAATTGTTAATTAACTAACTGTGCGAAAACTCTCTGTCTTTGATGCTCTCTTTACCGTGCTTTGATGGCATATGTGTAACATGTCTGTGTATTTTAATTAATATCAGTTTTTGTGTTGTTTTTCTAATGTTTTCAGATTATAACCTGGAGATTTTGGGGTTTTTGACTTTCTTTTGACACTGGTGGACATAGATTTTTTTATGCAAAATCATGGGTAGTGAGATTGATACTAAATCAATTGAACCAGTCCGAAATGCCCTCTCTTTGTTTGGAGATAAAGACCATCAGAAGAAATATCAGCCTACCAAGAGTAAGGTAACTAAGGAACACAGGCCTGAGTTCAAACCTTTCAAATCATGACTTCTGTAGATGATAGAATTTATCATAACACACACTTAATATTATGACGTTCAATTATTAGTCTCTTTCACTCGTGTAGATTTGATCCAATTATTAATTGAATGTTGTTTGTGCATGCATGGATATCCGTGTAGTGGTCATCAGAGATTAATGATGGAAAATAATTATATCATGTCACGTGAGATATTATCATGCTACATGAGATAAATAGATCTCATTAATGATTTAACTGTCATTGTTTTGCTTTATTTGTTGGCCAGTGTGATTGTGAAATAGAGTTTGAGGAGTTGAAAAAGGAATTAGCCAACTGCAAGGTACAATTAGAAGCAAAGCATGCAGCACATATGCAAGCACTTCTTAAGCTGGAACACAACCAAAAGATGACTCATGAATTGTCTTCCCTGCTGAAGAAGTCTGATGTTGAAAGAAACAGGTACACAAATGCATCTTCAGAGGGAAAAGCTCGCAAAGAAGAGCTTGAATACGAGATGAAAGAGAGGGCTGATCAGAACTTGGAAACTGTAAAGGTCCGGGACCAGCTTTCACATGTATTGAGTGAATTGAAGGCCACACAAAGGGAGCTTCTTAACAAGGAAACAGAACTTGTTGCTGCTAAAGATTCAGAACTGAACGCTTTGACAAAAGTGGAACATTTGGAAAATGCCTTGAAGATTGAAAAGGAACAGAAAGAAGAACTCATGCAACAAGTGAATGAGCTTGAAGAAGTCATTCATAGGTCAAAACTTGCCGCTATTAAAGCTGAGAAAGAGAAGATTGCTATGTTGTCTGAGAAAGAAGAGAAAATTGAGTTAGCTACAAAAGCAACTGCTCAAGCACAAGAGCTAGAAGATATGAGAAAGCATATAGAAATGCTAGAGGGTTTACTTAATCAACCGATGGATATGTCTACATTGGTTGATTCTCTTCCATTGGAACTTACACAAGCTAATGAAGCATTCATTTTATCTGACTCAAACCAGTTTCACATTGACATGGAACTAAAGGAAAGAAAGATCATGGATCAATCTGTCTACATTGAGACATTAGAAATGGAATTGAATCAGTTCAAACAAGAGCTTACAAGTGCAAAGGAAGAAATAAATGGCTTAAATATTACTATTGAATCACTCACAAGTGAGTTGCAGATGGCTAAAGCAGATTTGAACATGAATAAGGAGGAAGATATTGAAGCACAGGTGGAGATTGCATTGCTGAAATCTCAGCTTCAGAAGAATGGATATGTTACTGACATCCAACCTAAGATTAATCCTTCACAGGATATACAAGTTCCCCAAACTGAAGTGAGAAATATTAGTGATAATAAAAATGAGCATATCACAATCTCTTTGGAAGAATACAAATACTTGGTTAAAGAGGCTGAGAAAACAAATGAAGTTGGAAGCCATTCAGAGTTAGCATTGATGAAAAAGGAAGTGGAAAGTGCATCAGTGAAAATAGCACAGCTGAGGGCACGTGCAGAACAGGCTCTTAGCAGGGCTGAGTCAGCTGAGAATGCTAAAGCAGCTTTAGAGGACAAAATAAGGAGACACAAGGAACATAAGCAGAAAAGAAGGGCTGCTCTAGATGCTCTTAGGGAGGAATCTACCCCTAAACAATTTAGTCCTTCCACATCAAATGGAACAACACCTGGATCATACCAGCCATTAGGTAAGGTTCTAAATATGAAGTTGTAAAGTCTAACTCACATCATTACTTTACTTGGTCAATGCTTGGTTCAACTCAAGAAAATAGTTTTTTTATTTTTATTTTTAAATAACTTTTTGAGAGAATTTTTGAAAAAAAATAATTATTTCTCAAAATTTAAACTGGACCAAACATTTGATTATGTGAGTTGTCACTTGTCAATTACAATTAGTTTTAGTATTCCCAGCAATATTTGTTGTATCTCGCAAATAGGGTCACCTATTTGGACTTATTTTGTATTGCATATATCTGTATCTGATCTGGAAACAGTAAATGTTTATGCACGAACCACTTTATTTGCAACTTGAGCCTGACTTCTAACACATTGGAAGATGCATGCACTCGATTTGTGATTCTCGAAGATTATATGCGGTGAAAAGTAATTTGTTAATTCTATTGATAAGTGGTTAGTACAAATTTTACAATAAATATTGAAATTAAGTAATTTAAGCATGTATACTTATTTATAAGCGGAGAAAATATACTCAAATCTGATTATTTATACATGATTTTGGCTAGTGTAAGATTCCATATATACAAATTTTGTTTAATCAGTTCTGTTCATTGTTATTTCTACTCTAGTATCCCAATGGGCTTCTAGAGGCTATGAAGTCCAAATTCTTCTGGTGGTTTAGAAACATAAGAGTATTAATGCTTGAACTTGGTTTAGTTGGCCCGATGATAAAATAAAATAAATTTAGGTAACCTGAACATATTTGTGAGGCTGAGTCTTCATCTTCAATCATGACAAATATGTTTAGCGAGTCAGACACACAACTTGTATTCTTAGTCTTTGGTCCCCATTTGGCAGGCAAAATATACCTTCCGGTGTGGGCAAGTTAATGGGTGGATTGCACAACATGCATTTTTTGTTTTCAAATTTCCAGAAGGGTGTGCTGGTCAATTGTTAAAAATAGACCAATTTAACCAATTTACTCGCCCATCTATTCTTATGGGTCTTGTCCTCGAAAACACTTGTGACATTTCAGATTTTGCTTCACGGCAGATTGTCACATAAAGAAAGGGTGGGAATCTTGAAGTCAACATTTGTCTATTAACAAATTGTATGCGCAAATACTTAGTATTATATATATGAGATTATATTTCTCATGTTGTTATACTCTCATAAAAGTGTGTGGGAGTATAAAATATGGATTTCACACACTTTTATTTTATGTGTGTGTAAGACATAATTTTATTTTCTATAATACGAGAGACATTAAATCGTATAAATATATATGGCAAAATAATTTGTCATGTGACTGGATCTAAGGTTTGGTGTGGTCAAAAACTTATAACTACGTACTAGGTAGTATATTGTTCTAATATTAAAATTATGTTTTTTTTTTCTTCAAAAATTTAACTATTTACTACAAGTAATACATAGTTATTGTTAGAAATTGATATAAATCATTAAAAACGTCCTCATTTAACATCTTAAGATTTTGTGTTGAAGTGATTCTTTACAGTTATAATATTAAAGTTATTTTTTTTTCTCTCCTACGTCGCCCGACAACTGTATAAAAGTTACTGAGGAGAGAAAAAATAGTTTTAATATTATAACTATGTACTACCTATAGTACATAGTTAAATTTCTGAAAAGAGAAAAAAAATATAACTTTAATATTATAACTATGTACTATCCGTAATACATAATTATAATTTTTTGACCGTACCAAAACTTAGATCCGATCATTATACATCCGCTAAGCCCTATATATATATATATATATATGAGTATTATTAATCTCATGTTAAAGGAGATAAGTTATCTCAGGTCATAGAGACAAACTTGTGGGCTTCATCATCTGAAAAAAAAAATGACACAGTTATCGAAGGATGTGTAGGAGAAAAAATTTATCTCATGTAGCATGAGAATAGTGTTTTCCCCCTATATATATATATATATATATATATATATATATATATATATATATATATGAGGTAGGATCCTTTGACACCGGTGTCAAATTTACAATTTGACACCTCATCTGAGAGCCGTTAGATCAAAAAAGATCAACGACTGTGATTTGTAAGCATGTGACACCATTGATCTTTTTTGATCTAACGGCTCTCAGATGAGGTGTCAAAGTATCCTGCCTCTATTATATATATATATATAGAGGCAGGATACTTTGACACCGGTGTCAAATTTGAAATTTGACACCTCATCTGAGAGCCGTTAGATCAGAAAAGATTAATGATTTACAAATCAGAGTCGTTGATCTTTTTTGATTCAACGACTCTCAGATGAGATGTCAAACTTTAAATTTGGCACCAGTATCAAAGGATCTTGCCTCTATATAATATATTTTTTCAAACTTTTTTTTGGCAATACTCATTAGGTCTGTATGCATTGTTTTCAAAGGAAAAACAAGACTATTACACGTTAGGATGTGACATGGTTTAAATCAAATTGAGGTGTAGCTGTAAGCATGTTTTGTTTCATTTGGAAGGTCAACAATTTAAGGCATTAAATATTACACTACACGTGTGGGGGATAAGAGTTATCTTCCAATCAAAGGCATTTATCTCTTTCGGAGCAATTGAACCTCAAAGGTATGGTACATTTTTTTCTACATGGAATCCAGTTGGTCTAAATTTTTGTGCACGTGTGCCAACCAAAATTGTATTGAAAGAAAGAAAGAATGAGAATGCTCATGTACCAATGTTCCACCGAGAATTTTGACCAAAAAAATCTGTCTTTGATAATGTTTCAAGTGTAGAGTGGGGGTTACTTAATTTTATAAAATAATTAGTAGGAAACACAAACACTACTGTAAAAAGTAAGAACAATTGAACACGTGAAACTGCTCTTAAATTAGTTAACAGTCACTACAACAGAAATGACATTTCACCACGGCAATTTAGCAATGCGTAAAGCACGTTGCAATTAGTTAGCGCGTAGACCCGTTTAAACTGCTGGCCATCACTGCCACTGACTTCCCACTCACTACCCCGATTTTCCTGGATGTCTAAATACCCAAATACATTTCGATCACTTATCGTTCCATCTATTTGAAAATATTTTTTAATTTAGAAGGTTTGCTTTCTCTTTCCCCTATCATCTCTCTCTTTTTGAATTTAATCAATATAAGGCGTAGCTCTATAAATTGAGCTGTGATTTTATGTTAATCTTATTGATCTATTTGATAATACAACATTAGTTAATTAGCGCTTCGTCTTCCATTTGTCTTAGTTGCTTCACTACATCATCCCTGTCCACACAACTGCTTCGGTTAATTAATGTTGTGATCTCAAGCTCCTACTCTGCGTTTTGCTATTCTTGCTTCTAGTTTTGCTAAGAATCTCATCATCGGAGTCGCATGAATCGAAGGTAGGGATTTCTTTTGGTTTGTAATTTTGGATTATCACTGATTTAGCTTTAACTAGTGAAATTTCTGTTCTTAATTCAAATTGATTTAGCTTCAGCTGGTGAAATTGTGTTCTTATCTGAAAATGCCTGTTAAGTGTTTGACAAAAGGTTAATAGAATTGGACACTTGTTGGTTACTTTGGTACTTCTGGTGATTGTGTTGAGACATTGTTTATCTTGATAAATTAGTATGTTAATTCTTCTTGGCACATTATGAGAAAAAAGAAAGGAAAAAAATGTGATTGTAAAAGTTGGGTTGCTAGTTGACTGAACACGATTCTGATTTACAAATGATAGAGCATTGGTTAACCAGGTTTGGAGGACTGCAAGCACATATGCTACAAGGATCTTGTAATAAAGGATCAACAGTGGAGTGCTTATATTGATCGTTCTCCTGGAGCTGCCAGTTATTCAGAGGTATTTTCATTATCGCCCTTGCTTCTTTTACTCACCATATTAGTGATTGCAATCTGCAACTTAACTTGATGATGGTCTGATTTATTCTAACATTAAAGTTATTTTCTAATGATTTCTCTCTCTTAATTACTTTAATGTTTGATTCTGCGACCTTAAAGGAAAGGTTTCTATATGTTGAGTTGTTGTCAGAGAAATGTAGTGTTAGTTCTGAAATGAAGACAATGTTGGGGAAGAATGGCAATTAATTGCAATATGCTTGTAGCTTTTTAAATAGCTTAATTATGAAATGGTTGTCTTTACATGTTAATGATGATTAATCCCTTCCTTTAATGGAACGTTTCTATGCTTGTGTATCTGGCTGCGGTTACAAGGTCAGTATTGAATGGCTAATTTATTTTTCTGTTGTAGCAAGCAAGGAAGCACGGACACTTGTAAAAACAGGAAGAGTCGGGTCCGACACGCTCCGACACGGCGACACGCTCCGACACGGTGTCGGACACGCGGTTGACTTTTTCCGATACGTTGACCATTCCGACACGCGAATTTGATCGTGTCTGACACGGTCAAATGGCATTTTCGTAATTTTTTTTATTTTTTTTTTAATTTTTTTTTAATTTTTTTTTTAATTTTTTTTAATTTTTTTTAAAAGTTAAAATATATTAATAAAGCTTCCACCTGATCAATTTTTTCTTTTTTTCTTTTTTCCCTTTAAGTAGATAAGAGATCATCTCAGCATCATTGTTGTCAATTCCTATCACGCTCTTGTTGTATCTTCTTCTCTCTGATCTCTCTCTAATATGATTTGATCTCTCTATCTGATATTATATCTCTCTCTTATCCCAATTCTTATTTTTTTTATTAAAGCTTCCATCTTTATAACGTGTTGATGGGTATTATTAATTTAGTTTCATTTTTTTTGTTAAATTATTAAATATTAAATGAAATATACACTATATAAATTAAAAATATTATTTAATATTAAAACGTGTCCCAACGTGTCGAAATCCATAAATTTTTAGGATTGACGTGTCGGAGTGTCGTGTCGTGTCGTGTCACGTGTCGCGTGTCGTATCGGTGCTACATAGGTAGCAAGTAGTAACAGCTCGGAAAATCAATAAGCTTGATTTAAAAACATGTAAAGCGCATTGGTTGATAAAGAGTATGAGTATTTAGGAAAGAATTAAAAATATAATATTAT